TGAGCGGGGAGGGGGGGGAGGGGGGGGGGGGGGGGGTCCCTTGGCCCCAAACTGGAGGCTTTTCCTACATACCATGTTATGGGACAAGACTCCAAGGACTTGAGCTAAGTCCCCATTTGCTGGCTGCAGTGGGGGGAACATCTGCCACATCCTTCAAGTTTGGAGTCAGCCTCTGACTCTAGTCTTAGGATCTCCCTTGCTAGGATGAGCCTTTTGCACCAGGAAAGGAGGGAGAGACTCGGTAGCTACATACAGACCCTGACCTTGAGAAGGCAGCCGCGGAGGCATTTCCAGGTGGGTTAGGGCCTGACATGACACGACAAGCTTTCTAAACACACAGAGACGCACACAGGCAGAGCCCCGCAGGCTCTGCTGTCTGATCCCCCACTCCCAGTCTTTGAGAATTTGGTCCTGTGCCTACCTGACTTCTCTGAGCAGCAACTCCAAAGGGATCGCCAACCGCAGCCAACAAAGCCACCAGAGGGAAAAGGCAGAAAAAGCCCACAATGAATTTATAGCCATGGCTCTTCTCCTTGTCAGCTGAGAGTGAGCCCTGGGGGCTGTCTGCACAAAGTCCTTCGATTGGATCCATCTCTGCCATTAATTAAAAAAAAAAAATGAGGGGAGCACTAAAGCAGTCAGCTTGCAGAGAGCGTGTGTGTGTGTGTGTGTGTGTGTGTGTGTGTGTGTGTGTGCAATGGTCCTGCTCACTGTTGCAGCTGGAGAGTTTGGATGAGCCCTGCAATTCCTGTCAAACTGGTGCAGAAGTGCTAGAGTTACAGCAAACTCTTAAAAAAAAAAGCCCTGTAGACTTTACATTAAGCCTCTTTCCAATGTGCCAAAGATCCTATTAGCCTCTGCCAGACAGGATCATGTTACTGAAGCTGCAAGCTCAGGGCTGCGGGAGGAGAAACAGCAAAGTGAAGCAAGCTGGGATGGCCATGAACTCCTTGGAGTAGCAGAGTGTCAGCACGGGGCAGCTCTGCGGCTGTCAGCTTTATGTAAT